TGATATTTTATTAATATTTTATTAATGTATTATTTGATAGGCATGTAAATTTTTTTGTTCCTACTAGTACTTGTATTTTCATTTTCCTTTATCATATTTAACACGAAGCCATTAGCTTTTGTACGTAGCTGCACTCAAATTCGTGTTTTAATAAAGTTTATGTATGTATATGTTTGTATGTAAGTAACGAAAGAGGGAAAACTGTCTTGGTGTAGTATAATTGCAACAATTAACACTCTCCCAGAAATGGGAATATTTATGGTCATTGGCTCTCACAATCTTGACTGTATCTAATACATTTAATACTCTTTGGCTTAAATCAAACGCGATAACATTGATGTGTCCACCCTTTCTTTTTTTTTTTTTTAACAAATAAGGGAAATGAGAATGAGAGCGATCTTCGCAGTTACGAATACTACTTAAGCAGCAGTGACAATAAGGCCTGAAAAATATTCAGGCCTGTATGGGATTCGAACCAATGACCTCCGCGATAACCGATGCAGTGCTTTACCAACTGAGCCAATAAGCCAACTAGGAGCTGGTCATTATGTTGGTTCGTAATAAACCCGTGAAGCGATGAGTCAACGGTTGTGAATATATGAAAATCGTATCTTTGAACTGGGGTTAAAGAAATGACTATGAGAGCGGTCTTCTCAGTTTTGAACACTGCTCAAGCAATAGTGAAAATAAGGCCTAAAAAAAAGAATTCAGGGCTGTACTGGATTCAAACCCACTAACCCTGCGATACCGGTGCGGTGCTCTACTAACTGAGCTAACAGCCAACTAAGAGCTGGTCATTATGTTGGTTTGTAATAAACCTGTGAAGTGATTAGTCAATGTTTGTGAATATATGAAAATCATATATTTCAACTGCGGTTGAAGAAAATAAGGGAAAATCAGTAAGTTACTTCTGTTTGTAGAGTCCGGTCAACAGAAACATGTCACTTTTGCTTGAACCCTTTCCCTCCGCAAATCCAACACTGAAGTTAATCTTCCCTCTGACTGCTATACTTTCTCTTGTGAAAAGGACAGGAGAATGTCGTGTTATATCAAAATAATACCCTCTTGATAATAAGCTTGTCTACTCTTTAAAACTTGCTTGTAAGACATCATATAGGAATCGTGAGGAGAAGTTACACTCATTAGAAACTTTGAGGAATGAAACAACGAGGATAAAGCTTAAGATGATTTATATTATAATTTCTAAATGTATATACAAGACCTATTTATAGGCCTTGAAATAGGCCGTGGAAGCTGTTCAACGGTTCGCACTGCATTTTTGTCATAATA